ATCAGTGCTTCCTGGAAGGCTATTCTTTTGGATCACAAATAAATGCTTGTTGCTTCTCACTTTGGCCATTTTTTTAGCTTAACGCTATCAAGCCATGAAAAAACATAAGACAACCTTAAATGAGTACAATTAAGTGAAGAAAGCCAATCCATAAGGGCTTCATATTATATGATTCCAACTACGTGACATTCTGGAAAAGCCAGAACTGCGGAGACAGTAAAAAGATCAGTGGTTAATGGGGAGGAAGGGATGAATAGGTGAAACATAGAGGATTTTTAGGGCAGTTAGCTCATGATATGATATGATATGATATTTTAATGGTGTACATATTTCATGATACAGTTGTTAAAGCCCATACAATGCACAACACCAAGAGTGAACCCTAATGTAAATTATGAACTTTAGGTGATAATGATGTATGTTCATCCATTATAACAAATGTGCCACTCTGGTGAGGGTGGCCATATGTGGGGGTATTAAGGGGTATATGAGAATTCCACCTTCTGCTCTATTTTGCTGTGAATCCAAAACTGCTCTGAAAAAAATAAAATCTATTTTTAAAAAATTAATCGACCACAAATTAACCATAAATTTAAATTGGCTGTAAATTAAAAAAAAATAATTGGCCATATTTTTGGACTCTCAGTTCTGTTCTATTGATCTTTGTGTCTACCCTTATTTCAGCACACGCTGTCTTTGTTACTGTAGCTTTGTAGTCAATTTAGAAATCAGGAAGTATGACTACTATAACCTTGTTCTTTTTCAAATTTGTTTTGGCTATTCTGGGTCCCTTGAATTTGCATATGAATTTTAGGACCATCTTAATCATTTCTGCAAAACAGGCACTTGGAATTTTGATAAACATTGGCACTGAATTTGCAGACCAATTTGGGGAGTACCACCATCTTAGCAATATCGTCTTCCACTGTGTGAACACAGGATGTCTTATTTAGGTCATCTTTAATTTCTTTCAGTGAAGTTTAATTTCTTTCAGTGAAGTTTAGTAGTCCTCAGTGTACAAGTCTTGCATTTCTTCTGTTAAATTTATTCTATCTTTTTTCTCAGCTTCATTGAGATATAACCGACAAATTATTCTAAGTATCTTTATAATAAATTTATTCTTTTAGATCCTCTGTAAACAGAATTTGTTTTCTTAATGTCATTTTCCATAGTTCTAGTGTATAGAAATACAACTTTTGTATGTGTTTTTCTTAGCTTTATTGAGGTATAATTGACAAAACTGTAAGATATTGAAAGTATACATGATTTGATAGATATATACATTTTGAAAGGATTCTTCCCGTCCAGTTAATTAACGTCTCATGTATTTATCTTTTTATTTTAAAATTTTTATAAGAACATTTAAGTTCTATACTTTAGCAAATTTCAACTAGACAATACAGTGGTATAGTAACTAGACAATACAGTGGTATAGTCAGTGATATAGCAAATTTCAACTAGACAATACAGTAGTATAGACAATACAGTGGTATAGACAATACAGTGGTATAGTTATACATTGGATCCTCTGATTGTTATCTACTGATATTGTACCCTGTATCTTTGCTGAACTTGGTGATTCTAATATTTTTTGGTGTGGATTACTTAGTGTTTTCCATATGTAAGATCATGTCATTTGCGACTAGAGATAGTTTACTTCTTCCTCTCCAATCTGGATTCTTTTTATTTCATTTTCTCGTCTAATTGCCATGGCTAGAACCTCCAGTAAAATGTCGAATACAAGCGGTGAGAATGGACATTCTTATGTTTCTAATAGTAAGGAAAAGCTTCAGTCTTTCACCATTGAGTACATTAGCCGAGGGGTTTTCATTAGAAGGTCTCTATCCAGTTGAGGACATTCCCTCCCATTCTTAGTTTATCGAGTGCTTTTTCTATGTCTTTTAAGATGATTGTGTGGTTTTGGTCTTGTGGGGGAGGAAGAAATTTTCTTCTACACTCAAGTTTCTTCTGGCTAGTCTAATAATCAGATAGATGGATTAGCAAGAGAAAATGACCAAATTTAATTATTTACGCATGTATGGGAACCATACATACATGAGAGATTTAAAGACCCCACATACATGAGAGATTCAAAGATAGAAAAGGAAAACGAGCTATACATGACATTCTAAACTCAGAATCACCTTGAGGCTTCAGAGGGGAGGAAGGTCACTGCAGGATGATAAAAAGAGCAGACATTTAATAATTAGAAATTTGCCCTGACCTACAGATAGGATTAAAAAAAAAAAGTTATCTCCAATAATCTCTTATTATGGACACAGCCTCTAATTCAAATTCTTGGAGGTAGTTGGGAGGGGAGCAGAAGTTTCTCTTGAGACCTCAGGGTCTTGATTGTCTTTAACTCAAAACAATCCGCATACCACGTAGACACACCTTGAGGTCACTTGTTCTGAACCCCTACACTCTTTATTCTATTAGTATAGAGTATTACATTGATTGATTTTCTTATTTAAATTAACCTGGCATTCATTCCTGGGATAAATCGCACTTGTTGCTGGATTTGATTTGCTAGTATTTTGTTGACAAAGTCTACGTCTATATCCATAAGGGATCTTGGTCTATACTATTCTTTTGGTGTAATGTCTTTGTTGGGTTTAGTGTCAGGGTAATCCTGGCTTTGTAGAATGAATTGAGACGTATTCCCTCTCCCCTTCTCCCTCCTCCCACTTCCTTCTTCAGTGCTTTAGTTTCACCGAATCTTCATGGGGTTGATCTGCGTAACTGCCTTGCTCAGTGGGGTCCCAGCACTTGGCCCAGCCATATCCCTGGAAGTTTACAATTCACTGTGTCATCTATGCTTGGCCTCGAATATCCACTGTAGGTGCCTGCGAAAGGAGGTGTGGTGAAAGCCCTTCTCTAGGTAGATAAAAAAGTCAGTGCTCTGAAACACGGCACACCAGCTCTCAGGTGGTCATCAGTAAGGCCTTAGGGCAGCTCCTGTTACAAAACTGCTGAAGCCTCTTGATTTGAAATACATTTTTCTAGATTTTTGTGGAGGCATTTAAAAACAGGGACCATCTGATCAGTTATGTTTAGGCTACATGGGAGTGAGTGAGATAAGGGAGTTGTCATCCCTGTACGAAGTGGGATTTCATCTGAGAAGTTCCTCAAGATAACATCAGGCAAATGTCAGAAGGGACAAAGGGGGCTGGCCAATGCAGAGTGTTCCAAGTGGCACCATCTTGTTGGGGAGTCCACCATCTTATCATATTATCACCAGCTCGTTGAGCCAGACAGGCTGCAGGTGCTCCTAAAATTCCACAAACCACATATAAACCCGAAAACATGTATAAAGTTCTGGGGGAAGAGGGTATCTGTTTTGGTTTTGCTTTGCTTGGATGGATTGTCATCATTTTTCTGTGAGCAAGTTAACACCTTGTCGCATCAACTTTTTCACTTTCAAAGAAGTGGGAAGAGCAGAAAGACGAAGACTCCTCCGTCCCAGGAATAAATAAGTCTGAAGGGAGGTCGTAGTGGCCACGGGATGGGACACGGGGACTGCCCATGGTGTGGGGACTGTCATGGAGTAAATGCTCAGGACATGGTACTTCTCACTGATTATCCATGAGTAGGAAGCTACTGTTGGGGTTCCCCCAGGGTCCGCCAGGCGTGACAGGTACTCCTAAACTAGGAGAGGCTGCCATTGGCATCTGAGGGGCCCTAGGGGTCCCCTGAGCGGGAGGGCTGTAGGTTGTCCCCGGGAGCCTGCTTGCCTCCTTTCAGGATGTTGTCTATAGCTGCAAGCTTAAAACAGCCAGCATGAATTCTGTCAAACACTAAACATGAGTTCACAGGACACTCCCAAAAGCCATACACTTCCTTGCCAATCTCATTGTAAGAGAGAGCTCAGGGATTGCCCAGGGCCGCTCTGCCAGACCATCCCCTCATCTTACCAGAAGCTGCATAATGCCAGCATCCCCCACACCCCACTGTGGGGTGGAGGGGACTAGATGACATCTGGCTATCTAGTGTTATATATGTTACATATAGTGGAATATATGTGTTGGGGTGAAGGATCAAGGAGAGTGTCTGCGGCAGTGGCAAGTGGGTGGACTCCAGAACTCTCCAAACCTGGACCTTAACCTCACCTGCCTCCCAAATTTACCCAGGTGACCAGGATCGGTTACTTACCTGGTGGTTTAGGCTTCCTCATCTGTGAACAGTGCACAGTGATAGGGCTTTCCTAGATCCGGTGAGCTCTGGTCTTGATTTTATTAGTTATAAATACGGTGAGCTCTCTGGGTGCATGTGTGACAGAGAGGTGGGGCCCAGTGTGGATCTGGCGCCTG